ACACATTTTTCTTACCACTTAAAAAACAAAACAAACAAACAATCAAAAAACACTTTTTCTTGAGTGAATATCTGACTTTTCCTGAAATTTGCAGATTTACATATTTCAGTTGACATTGAAAGGCCGGTTCTGGAGCAGCCTTTTTGGTAACATTTTATTTGACGGGTTGTGAATAAGATTGTCATGACACCGTCATAAACATGACGTAACACCTGTTATGAACATGAGTAAGTCTTCATGAATATTTATGAGTGTTGTCATCTAGTGTCATTCTGAAAATCGTGACACTTTTAATACAAAGTTGACATTATTCAAAATGTATTTATGACAACTTGACATTAACCAAGAAGTCATAATCTGATATAAATTTGTTATAAAAGTATTATTGATTAAACTTTAAAAATCACGTATTATTAAATTATTAAAGCCAGTTTAATCAGAAATAATTTTATAACAAATTTATGTCAGATCATGATTTCTTGGTTAATGACAAGTTCACATAACAAAGACATTTAGAATAATGTCAACTTTGTATTAAGTGTCATGATTTACCGAAAGACGGTCATGACATTGTCATAAATATTCAGAAAGACTTGCTCATGTTCATGACAGGTGTTATGTCATGTTTATGACTGTGTCATCCATGACCGTCTTATTCACAACCCATCAAATAAAGTGTGAGTGCATTTTTCTTCTTTGTTGAAACCCTCTGTGTCCACAATTGTGCAAGACCAGCTTCATTGTGAACAGCAACAGTTGTGATTCAGCAGCTTCCCGGCTGTTTTTTCTTTGTTGTCTTTGAAAAACGTACACAACATCCGATGTCTCCCTTCCATCTGAGAGAGACAGTTTGGGTCAGATAGTTAAAACTTTGACACAACTGTATATTTTTTATCAGAAAAGAACCTCCCAGCTGTCCCCCCAAAAATACACATAATTTGGAAGGCCAACACTCTCTGCTAAGTATCCCACAAGCCTGGTTTGCTCCTCGAAAACAACATATTTAACAGACCTAAACCATGTCTGGTCAGACCTGTGCAGAGTAACTGAAGTTTCTTGGAGAATATTTATTCATACCACCCTGAACAAGGGAGGGCAGATGTATGCTTAAAAGCATATGCACACGTAATCATTTTAGATGCATTTAGTTGTTCCATCTTAGTGGCACTGGCTAAGACAACTATTCTTTTCACTGCGGTTTTCCAAAATTTACTTTGAAAACATTCCCATTAACCTCTCAAACAATAATTGACACACCGAAAAACATGATTTTTTTTCAAACTTTATTTCTATAAAGGTGTTACATGCTTTTATTTAAAAATCAACACTACTATATACAATGATACATTTTAATAAATATGTCCTCCTCAATGGTGTTTCAAGGCTGAAACATATTTAGCCAGCATCATGAGTTTTTCTCTGGAAATTTCACCTCTAATTGTCTCTTCTAAAAAAATGGATTATACATGTTACAGGATGAGAAAAATATGTGATCAGAATAAATCCTTCCCACTAAGCATCAATGTTATAGTTAAATAGATGAGAAAGTTAAATAATCACCTGATACGATTTAATCTTTTTCTTGTTTTTTGCTGATAAGTGATACAATATAAGAACAGCAGCCTGCTCTTTGCTCTTTTCTGTCTACAAATGCTTTTAGAGGACCCACACACAGAAAGAATCAATATGAGATGAAATATGACAAACAGAACAAACCCAAAAGCTTTAAAACACGTACAGGATAGTCATAAAGTAAAGTATAGACTTCGGCTGCTGAACTTTTCCCAGAAACGATTCTTTGTTAATGCTTTGCCAAACTTGTAAACTGCCCTAACATGGCCAAGCACAAAGAGCCAAAAAGAGGGAGAAGGCAGTAGGCAGCATGATGTACCAGAAACAGGGGATATTACAAGGCAGTGGAATGTAAACTGCACCCAACCTAATAAAATAACAGAAACTAGACTTACAGAAACTGGCAAGAGTATGACTGAAAAACTGTTCAGATATAAGTTCACTCTGTGCCGGATCAAACAGAGGAAAGTAGCGTTTTATTTTTCACTTAACCAGAGTTCCAAAAGATAAGATTTATGTTAAACAGAAGCTTTAGGAAGAGTGGAGGAAGCGGTTGAAGGCGTTGTAGGCTGACTCCAGATCAAAGAGCATCTGGCGAACCTGGTTATCATCCAGTTCATCTGAGGCAGACATTCCGCTAAGGGTGGTCAACCTGTAGGAGAAATCCCGTGAGAGATGACAATATGCTCTGCTTCTGCTATTTAAACTCTAACCTTGTTATATGTAAAGGGAACATAAATATCCACTAATTTTATGCAATTACATCCATTCGGAGGTTTGCGTGCTTGTATGTGCAGCTTATTTAAATAAATTCTTTTCCCAGAAATGACTGATTACACATCAAACAATTTCAATAAATAAAAATATCTTTCATGTGTTTAAAATCATTGTCCAGTTAGAACACTCAACTCTGTCCAGTTTTTACCTACTTATTTAAACCTCTGACCAGCAACATAAAAACGTAACAAAGCATTTGGTACTAAACTGAGCCTGGAGTCTCTTAAAAGCATTAGAATAAAGATTCCTCCCTACAACTCACCATAGGTTCACTTTGTCCTTTGCCTCAGAGTCTGGAGGCATGTTGCTCATCCTGTTCATGGTTTCCATCAGCTCTCTCAGATCTGGTTGGATCTGTAGTCATGAGAATTAATCATCATGAGAACATTTCCACTTTTTAACTTTTTGCAGATTGCAGGCTTAATATGTGTGTAAAGTCAGAATCACCTCATCCATGGCTCTGATCTCCAGTCTCAGCTTGTCCATCACAGTGATGAAGAGCTAAAGTTCACCGATGGTGGTAAATAAGACAGTGTTAAGGATGTGTTAAGTTTACCATTGATAGTGCTTTCTAGTTTCTGATATTCTGTCAGTAGCTCATGTGACCAATGGTGGAGGGGAATAGTAACTTCAAAATAGGTAGATATAAATGTACTGTTTGACACAGTGAATGAGAGAAAGGACATACAGACACTATATCTGCGATGCAACGGTTCAGGTTGCCCTTATCATCTTTGATAGTAATTGGTCGATCTTCTTTAATCCTCTCCATTGCAAGTGGGCAGTCAAGCTAAAGGAAAAAATAACAGATACATCAAAGTGCGAAAAATTACTACAAAGTAACAGTTAGAAATTAGTTAAATAACTCTGGTGTTTACTGACTCTGTATTTTCTGCAGAATTCATCGATGGAGCCCACGTCAGAGCCTTGCACCTGTTTGAAAGCAGCTTTATACTGAACCAAGAGTCTGGAGCAGGAAGCTGTGTACCTAAAAATACAATTTCCTCCAGATCAGTGAAGCATACATTCATATTTAAAGGCTATGTGTTAATCTGAAGTGGTACTTACTCGCTGGGGGATACGCAGTCTTTGATGTAAGCCTTCTCCAATGCCTGCAATGTCTTTACAACAGCAAACAACTCGGCCATGTTGTCGTACCTTAAGAAACAAGATAAATCAAATGTTACAGCAATGACCAGTTCAGCTCATCATTAAGCACATTGAATCAATGCAAAGCTTACTTTTCTCGTTCCCGTGCGTTTTTGTACAGTTTAACCTCCTGCAACATCAGAAGTTAGAATGTTCAATTCAAACGAATAAACTTCAGTACAATTTTTACACGGATGAGGACTTTCAAGTTTGTTTGTTTTTTAAGTTTACACAACAATATATAAAAAACATTTACCTCGTATAACTCAGGTTTGTTAGCTGGAGCTGTGTGGAAAAAAAATTATGAAATTTAGTAAAATACTGGAGATGACAATGAAGTATCAATGAAGGTTGATACTTCAGAGGTCCTGATAAATTCATAAAAGATGCACTTCGGATTAATCTTACCTGCCCCGACTCCTCCACTGCCTGCTATCCCGTGGAACATGATGCTGATGTGAAGGATGTTGGTCTAAAAATATTGGTTATTGTTTAAATATAATTGTACACCAAAAGCAATCAATTCTTCTTTCTATAACCTTCTTCGTTTTAAGCCCTAAAAACAAAATTAAAATAAATTCTTCTTCGTTCTGCCATACAAATAAGCATCTATAGACCTACGCTGCCTTACCTCACTGTCGCCTTCCTACGAATAGAATTTAATTTGTTTCTGGAAAACTGGAAATGAATCTAATCCGATCGTAATTTTTGCCATTGGCAGGAATTTGCAGCAGAAAAAGTTATTTTGTCTTATATCTTTACCAACCATCTCTGTTCTGAGACTATGTAACATGCGGTTTTCTGTTATTAACAGAACTAATGAACATTGTTGTCATGACATGACATTTATTAATAACTTCACGGTTTGATCTTCGAAACTTGGCCTGGTTAATAATCAGGAAATGTACAATACTCTTGGCAAGAAACTGATATTACTTGGAAGAAATAACAACCATATTAATGTATTGGTTTTTTTAAAAGTCCATTATAAATGAATAGTTAGTCATTCATACAAAACAAGATGAAGTTAGATGTCGAAACAGTCGAAGCTAACTTGTTAGCACTTCCTTAATGCTTTTGTGGGACTGATCTCCGATATTTATGTATTTGTAACCAATACCCACGTAAAGATCACGTACCATATTTCTCTACATTATAACTCCAATGTATTTATTAATACGTCAACGAAAAGGTTACAAAGTTAAAAATTAGATGACATATTCTACTTACCCTTCCGATAAAATGCTATAACAGATGTAAACACACCCTCAGACCAGGACCAGCATACGTCAAAACAATAGGTGCCCTTTACGCCTCTGAAAAAAATCTCCAGAAGTAGGTATGTTTCCAAAAAAAAAAGAAAAAAAAGAAAAACTGTAGGTATTTAGTGATATTACACTACATTTAATATCGTTAAGATTTATGTGACGTAAACACGCACGTTGCGTTTTAATCAACTCTTGTTTCTAAACAGGCAAACGAAACGGACAGCTCCGTGTAAAGGCGGCAGAGTCAAACTGAAATGGGTAGAAAGAAAATCCTTTCTTAAAATACGTGTAATGTGTTTTCATCGTAAGGGCTGGTAAGTACGGAGCCCGTCCGGTCACATCGGAGTAAAAAAGAAAAGAAAAATCTCGGCCACTACTTCATAACGTGAGGGAAAAGACCGGAGTTCAGTTTATTGTGTCCAACTTTGGACTGGTCCCTAATTTTGCAGTTGATGAAAAACCCGAAAAATATTTACCTTCAACTGTACGTCACAGCATTTTATGTTTAAATGGGCTATTCACAACACAAATACCCCAATTTTATGTTGGGGTTTCTTATGAAAAAGAATTTTAGCCAGTCGTTTGAATGGCAGTAATTCTGCGTTATTCTTTAAATTTATCTCATCTTCCAATTTGAAGTGTTATTATTTATCCTGTTACATCTTTAATACCTTAAAATGTTATTCTATTATGCTTTCTATCTTGATTTTGTATGACTTTAGAGTAGCTACATTATAAGGTATTCCAATGTTGTGTTTTACTTTTTATCTAGGGCTAAATGGTTTTAAAATTATTTTTATGATTCCAAAATGTCACCCTATTTTAATAAATGTCAAGAGTTTCCTTATTTATGATAGCATTCTGTCAGTCCTAAAATTTGTATATTTTATCATGATTATTATTAAAAATAATTTTAAAAATTGTATTTTCTGTTGATAAAAGTGTTCAGAGTAACAACATTTTTATGTGTGAAAGGTAAATTTAAGCCCCTTATTAATGTTTTTCAGGTAATTTCCCATTATGAAAAACTCTAAGGCAACACCGCAGCGCTCTGCTCAGGAAGAATGTGGAATTTGGTTGGACACGGTGCAACTGAAAGAAAAGGCTAAAAAGGTGATTATTGGAGTTTAAAACACAAATGGAATTGTTACCTCATGGTCTTTATTTACTGTTTTTTACTGCTCATTTTGTGCTCTTTTCTCCCCCCCTAGAAACGCCATGCTCGTCCCATCTCTAAACTGCTGAATCCCTTGGCTAAAGGTGGAGGGTACAGTTTGGCTGTAGCCCTGAACTTCACTCAGACTAAAATGGAGATGCCAAAAACTAAACAGAGTTCCATATCTGCTTTTTTTTCACCTAAACATAGAGGTAAGCAGCCAGTAGCTTCCTAAATGTTTTTTTTTTTTTTTACATGAACAGTGTTTGCATTGATAAAATATTGAAAATGCTTGAGACTTGAGATATTTGATGATGTTTTCAATGACTGCTTGAAGAAATGTTCAAAGCTAGCTGAAATATTTTGTTTTTTACATATCACTGTATGTTTCTGAACAGCTTGAAATCTATGCATGGTTTCTGCAGTTTAAAGAATCCGGAAAAGGACTCGTTTTGAATTAGTTATCTTCTAAGTATAAATATTATGAATATTGAAAACGACAACATAATAAATATCAGTTTCTCTACATCTTAGCCTCTAGTTGTCCTAATGTTTAATTTATCCATCTATTCAACCATCATGCAGTTTGTCCATTAGTTTTTCCATCTTTCCTTGTGATCTAATTTGGTTGAAAAAGCTATCATAATGTCAGAGAACTATAATTTTTACTTTAAGAATTGACTAAAAAAGGCCAAATGATTCTAGATATTTGTGTTCTAATAAATATGGTGGGAACCCTGTGGAGAAGTCAGTATAAAGATAATAAAGCTTGAATGTGATAACTGGAATAACTTGTATTTAAAATTAATTCTTCCAAAAGTTCTCCACAAGATGTCTTCCGTTCAAGCACCAAGCCTGGATCTGGGGCAGCCCTCGATGCCGTCCACCACCACCAGACCCGTCACTGTTTCATCTGTGAAAAAGCGAGCGCGTGAAAATTGTTCTGAAAACTTGGATTTGGAGTCTGATGCTGGTATGGATGATAATTTGGAAAAAGAAAATGTGGCAGAGACCAACACAACTACATGGCGCAATGAAAGAACCCACTATTCATCTTCACTAGATGGTAAATCTGCAGAGTATCGACCCCCTCAGTGCAAGCGGAGGCTCCTTGAGCCCTCACTGCTGGATGATGAGAGTCAAATCGCTCCACAGCCATGGAGTCAGGACCCTATGTTCACCTTTAGTGAGTACTCTGAGGACGTAAGCAGCTCAGGGTCTAATTTTATAAACAATACTCCGAATTCAGAGATCTTTGGAAATTTTAAAGAGGGAACGACATCAACTCAGAAACCTGAAACTGAAAACTCTTTTCATTTAAAAGACGGGAAAGAAAATAGCAGATTAATCTCCTCTAAGTCTCCAAGTAAATATATTTCTTTATCTCATGCTGGAGCTTGGTCAAATCATAAGTGGGCAGAGGTGAAAAACGCTTCACCACGAAAACAAACTGATCACTTGGGGAGCAGTGTTGTAAAGGAATTGCATTTTGACTCATTGTGGAGGAACAAAAGAAGCTCTCCTCTTAAGAAACAGCAGAAATGCAGGGAAGCAGACGAGAACAGTTTGGCCATGTTGTTCACTCAGGACTCAGAGGGCTTCAGGGTGATAGCACATCGAGGCCTCCAGACCAGGAGCCCACTCAAGGATCAGAGTAACCTGAGCCCTGGATTGGTGAGAAATTACAAACCTGTGGAGGAGGAGGAAGATGAAGACGAAGAAATGCTCTTTACCCAAGACTCTCAGGGAAACATGGTGATCAAACACTAACCAACGCCTCTGTGTCAAAATTTGGAAGTTTAATTGAGCAATTATTATTATTGTAGTTTTCACCAGGATTTTTTCACACATTTGATTTTTTTTCTTCTACTAGCGAACGTTCTCGCGAGCCAGAGCTGAGAGATATTTCCTTTATTTGAAAAATGACAAGCATTACATAAATTTCTTGTATATTAAACATTAGTTTCATGTATATTTCTATCTGTCTTATGTCAGTGCTCTGTGCTTGATTTTATTACAAATTAAAGTGATGTATAAAACATAACAAGTGCTAAATTATACTACAGACAAATTGCATATTTGTAATTCAAAGCAGCACATCTAAGTGTATTACATTCATCTGAGCTCAATTCTTTTACTGATTCCAGCAGCTATAAATGCAAAAACCTCAGAACTAAAATAGGAATAAACAATACAGGTCAGATAAAATATAAAATGTTAGTTTTATATTTAAAGATTTAATTTTCAGTAGCTACATGGTCTCATATAAATGCCTTTATTGCTATGGCACAGACATGTAACAGATGGGCTCTAGGTGTGATTCAGTGTAATCTGATCTAGCTGTGGGGGTGGGGAGATTTAACAGCTGAAAAGTGTCCCCCCAAAGAAAACTAATTGTAAAGTCACAAATACAGTTGTAGAGGTTCAACTGACTATCTATCAAAAGGTGAAAACATTCAAGGGGGTGTGAACGTATTTAAAAGGGATTCCTGACATGCATCTCATCCTGCAATCTCAGTAGGTTCTGTCACCAGCTTGGAGCCGTCCCAAACGGTCTTGAACTGCTCCGGGACGGGAAACTCCCTCTGCAAAGAAAGCAAATCTAAAAGATCCAGCTGAGTTCATCAGCAAAACATAATGTCCCCACAAACCGATAAGCTTATCTCTGAGTGTGGAGCCTTCCTCCTGCTTTCTCACTCACATAGTCATCGTCTCCTGCTGGGATCAGGATGTTCATCTCAGAGCTCTTGGCGCTGACGATGTCGCACTTCAGAGCGGCTTTGCTCAGGTAGACCTGGCAGCCCTCGGTCTTGTTGATGGAAATAGTAGGAACAACTCCCAACACCTGCAGAGAGGAGGGAATAAAATCACCTGGCAGGTCACTGGTTTGTTTTAACATCTTGAAAAACTAACCGCTGTACAGTGCACCACAATATCATGAATGAATAAACAAGGCATTTATTAATTTACGTATGCCATAGTTTTAATAAAACTGGAAATGGGAAAGTTGAATAAATAATTGTTTCCATAATTATTTAAATATCAATAACTTATCAAATGAAAAATTTTATATTTAAATGTACAACTCAATAAAAAAAATATCTGAAAATATATTTTGTATAAATTGTTTTGCTCTGAGGTGAAATAAACTAAAAATAGTTAAAATTTGATTGGTTCAGCTGGACAGAAAGTTAACTAGATAAATCATCTTTTGCTATATCAGTCTTGAATCTATTCATTAACTCTGATTGGTAACGGAAGTTTAAATAAATGTAAGATGTCTTGCTGTGAGGGACTTAAAAATAAAAATAATTAAATGCATAAAAATATGTTTAAATAAAATGTATATTTGTTGTTGAGCTACTATGGCAGTATTTTAAGACATTCACACATTTCGAATGTCACTTTTTTTTTTAGATATTTATTTAAGTGTTTATTCAATTATGTCTCTTTTGGTCCATATAGTAACAAGGGTTAGAAGGACAGGGCTAAACTGGACAAATTTAAAGGTGATAATTGGCCAAATATCATCTATATAACCTGAAATAGTTCAGGTTATATATATCTTTACTAACCTGCAGCTGGATGCTTCTAGAGTTGATGATCTCTACGATCCCAACAGCATTCTCAAAAACCAGGCCGAGCTTTTTACAGTTATCTGGGGAAAGACCAAACAAGCCAAGCTTAGAGAAATTGTTAGAAGGAGTGTACAATCACAGCTCTATGTCTCGGAAGCTCACCTACGATGATGGAGTTAATTTTGCCTTTGACCTGCAGGGTGGAGTTGTTGCAGCCAAAGACGTACACCACCTGTTTCAACTCGGTCTCCTCAATCACTAAGTCGTGTTTCTGCTCAAAGTTTTCCTTCATCAAGCAAGACAAGGCACACGCATGAGAGCATGATGAATCATGGTAAAGGGGGTCAATATCAATTTAAGTTTTGCGTACCACCCTCCACTTTTTTCCCTCCAGCTCCAGCAGAGGGAGTCTTTTCTGGGCCGCTGCTTTGGGAGTGTTCGCATGCTGCGGATCTTTGGTTTTAAGCGGTGATGCTTGAGAACGAAGGTTGGGGTTCTTATGAGTCTTCTGCTCATCTGAGACATGCTTCAGACCTAGACATGTACAAATAGATCTCAGTAAATCAAATGTTCAATTTACACCAGTCATTTTATTTAAAAAGCAAAACTTGTGTATAAATTTTTATTTTTGCTAATATGTTTCTTAATAAAATTTATCTCCAAATAAATATATTAAGCTTACAGAAATGTGTCCAGCAGACATTCCTTGACACTCTCTCTATGGAGGACAATCTAACCTGGGTATTACTAAGGAGTTTGGTTGTTTACAGAGTGCAACATGAAAGGATATTGATAAAAAGTTTAGTGGAAGGAAAATCAGTGACAAAAAAGTCCAGCGTCAAGCGACAGCCTTGAAAGAACCACTGTGCAGAATAATGAACGTGACACAAAGAATACACTTTAGAACAAGTAAAGACTGGAACACAAATCAAACGCCTGAATCAGGATGTTCATTCTGATCAGTAGAGGCCAGTATTGGGTTTACCTTTAGTGATGTCCATGCCCTGGTTGAGCTGGGCAAACAAAGCTGAGTGTTGAGGTGTTGCACTGCCTTCTTGAAGCTTGGAGTCATCATCAGTGAAGTCCGGAGGAGGGCCAGGAGGAGGCGGAGGAGGGGGAGGCGGCGGACAGGGAGCACTGGGTGGCGGAGACGAGTCTAAGAGAGGAGCAATGGGACCCTGTGGGACGAAAAAAATGGTCTACATTGTGGTTGAGGAAAACTTAAAGCTGTGACATGTTTTGGAATCAGCAGCTGTAGTATTCAAATTGTCCATTTGAGGGAGTGTTGTACAGGAAATACTCTTAGTACTCTTAGTGGAGTTCTTGATAGGACAAATACTTCTTCATGACTTTTTGTCTCCCAAATGACACGATTCTCAGCTGAAAAATTTAAAGCTTAGTGACACAAAACACAATTCAAACTCAACAATTCAACCAAATAAATCTGTCCTAAATTTATTAGGCCAGGAAAAAAGAGTTGATGAGAACAACAGGTGGTCAACAAACAAAAAACAATCCCAAACTAACTAATAAAAACTGAAACCAAAAGGGAAAAATCTGATGGAGGTGAGAAAACACAAGACATGAAAAATGTCTTATGTTGGAATGTTCTGGCAGGATGTAAAGAAGACAGACTGACTAGTGGAGGTCATTAAATCAGCAATAAACTTATTGAGAGATCTATAGAGCCAGAGAGAAAAAAGGTAAAGTCTTTTTCTGGCTTAAATTATCTCATGCTGCACAGTTAACACAGACTGCAGGCCAGGACCTGGTTATCAGTAAGCCCACAGAGGACAGCTGGAACAAATATTTGGCAGCTCACTGACTCAAGTTGTAAAAAGTGCGGCACTGACAGGCGCACTAACTTGCTGGAACAGTTTGCTGCTGTGGTTTTTTATTTCAGACTTTAAGCCCCAACTCCGGCCCTCTTTCTTTGCGCTGTTGTGCTGCGGCCGGACCGTACGTACATGTGTCTGCATGTGAGAGAATGGCTCTGTCACTAAACCCGTAAATGAGCGGCAGATGGCAGCTGTGCCGACCAGCAAGCAGCCCTGCAGTTTAGGTTACGGCACAGGCAGCGAATGCACACAGGCCCCTTTTGTCGAGGCTCCTCTGTGAAGAAATCCTCCATTCAAGTAAACCCTGAGGACCACCTGTTAGAGCAGCACACTTCCCTGCTTGTGCACGCACACACAGCAGCTCTGTCGTCTGACAGCAGGAGCAGCAGCTGACACAAACAGCCTCTCAGGTTTCCGCGTACAGAAAGCACATGTGGTCACAGTTGTTCAGCATCACACAGATATTTATCCTCTCATTAAAGTAGAAGAATATGATTTTTAGCGCAAACATGGAGAAGCAGCTGTCCCTAAAACTCAGCGATGCACCTGGGTTTATTGAGGCTGATTAGCCCAGAGAGAAATGCATGCGGAACAAAGACACACTGTGGTTTTAGCGGGAGCCATAAGAAATTTCTTGGCCTGAAGTTTCGTCATGTTGGAGAACTTTGTAAATTCTGGAGACAGATTTGAAAACCTCCACAAAATATGGCGACTGTTTCAAATTAGAAGTCGACTGGCTGATTTTTTGGCTGATATTTGTGCCTTTCTTTTCTCGTATTGGAATTGGCCGATACTTGCATGCATTCGCTGATCCATTAGCCATGTTTTGAGATCACATAATCAGATTAATTTAAGATGATGCAGTAAATGAGATGCTCAAAGCTTGAGATGTTTTACCTTAGTTCCTTTTTGTTCACTAAGATTAAATTACACACAGTCTGACTCTGTATTTGGTGATTTCAGAAGAAAGTTTGTTGCCATGAATTTTATTCAGGCACACCGGAGTGAAGGGGGCGAGTACACTTGAAAGCCACACTTTTCTGTCTTTTATGTTAAAGAAATTTAGAGAATCGTGTATTATTTTCCTACCACTTTGTTATTATGCACCACTGTTTGTTGGTATATTGCAAGAATTCCTTAAAGTTTGTAGTTTTAAAATGAGAAAATGCAAAAAGAAAAAAAGGTTTGAGTATACTTATTAATTTGAACCAGAAAAAGGTCAAATTATCAACTGAGGAGTTCCTGAGCAGACGCTTCCAAAACCAGGAGTGTGTGTGGGAGTGGACGGTGTTTTGAGAGCCCTGCAGAGACCTGTGATGTGCAGCCACTGAGGAGAAGTTCATTCATTCATTCATGCTCTCTGCAGTGGTTTATGTAACCCCTGCTGCCATATCTCTAAAAATGGAAATGTTTGCAAGAAAAAAAGAAGAAAAAGGAAAACCTAGCTGGTTTAAAAATATCAGAGCAGAACCACAGCTGAGATAACACACCAGTGATTTTCTTCTGCTTACCAGCACATGTTGGAAAAGACAACAGAATTAATTGAGATTGTTGTAATTACAAAAGAATCCGACTCACAGTCTTGCTCCACACCAGCCCTGTGGTGTGGTGCTGCTTGATGAAGGACTGCATCTCGGTCCAGATCGACAGGTAGGCGTGTACCCAGTCCACATGACGTCTGTCGCTGGGAGAACAGAGAGCGCGAGGGACAGAGGAGACCAACGGGACAGACAAAACAGGAAGAAGGAGGAAGAGTAGAGCAAAAATAAACTAAGTAGAGCAAAAATAAACTAAAAGGGAACAACTAGGAATGGACCAGATCTCATAGAACTATAAAACGTTTGCTGGAAATGAATGATCATTGAAAGTAGCTTTAAAACATTTTTGAACAAAACACTTTTAGAGGAAGAGAATATGCCACATAATAATAATAATAACTCATCTAACTTCAGCTACCTACCGACTAAAAGTGATATATAAATCTAATGTCATTTTTTAAAAAATGGAAAAACAAAAGAAGGCACTTAACGATAAAGTAGCTATTTGCCCAAATAGTCAGAAAAGCAATTGAACAGTAGAAAACATCTCATGTGACAAACAAAGCTGGACAAGGGACTCATATTTACTGCTAGCAGGTGCAGCAAAACAGAAGGATAATAAAACTAATTGTAATGCTCACTGGTCAAGAACTACAGCAAAGAATGGCATCTCGGGTTTGCCAAGTCCACATAACATCTTCATATTGACCCATTAGGTACAGCCAACGACATATCCTGTGAGTTTGTTTCTCTCCAAAAAACTGTGGAACATTTTTTAGAGCGAAGGGATTCATTAACTCTTTGAAACACGAGGAAATTTTGCATAAAACTGCCAAAGCTGAGAATGGGTTACCACTGGGTCTTCTGTTGGGATAATAATGACAAACCAACACAGAAATGGTTCACTTGACAAAAAAAAACAAAACAAAAAAAAACAACCTTCTTATGTAAATCCTATTTAAAGATTATCAAACATCACTTTCTCTTTACGCACCAACCTTTTAAAATATTAAAGAACACAATAAAGTCCTGTCCTCATCAGAAAGTAGTGTCAATATTATCATTACTTCTGAAGCATACTTACGTTTCCTTGTAGTCCTTCAGCACTCTGTTGGTGTAGAAGGTTGCTGCATCGTTCATCTCCTTCACGTACGGACCTGGTTTCTGACTCTGGGACGGGAACAGAAAAGATGCGCTCTCATGAGAAAGTCTTTCCTCATCCTGGCAGAGACACAAACGCCTCGCCTCCACTGCAGATTTGTCTCCATCTGAGGGGTAAAAGCTGAGAAGTTCACTCTGATATTTGAAAGTTCAGTATGCTTTTGATAAATTTGGGGAAGGTGCCTTCATGATTAACACAGATCAGAGTCAGCTTTAAGGTCCTATAGAGAGGCAGCTGTGATCTGGATAAAAATGACATTTATTTGGAAATGCTGAGACCATTTCCAAGCCCGTCTATTGAGGGGAAATAGAAACCCTGCAAATAAGGCCTTTTGAAATGCATCTCAACTCTAGACTTTATTTCTTTTACAATTATTTCATATTTTCTTAAATCCAGATAAACAGTTATCAGTAGGTGTGGGCATACACACCTGCTTTTGTGTATACTTTTATTATTATAAAAAATATTGTGATTAAACTTCATGTCGTCCACCCCTAGCTCTCCTGATCAGATTTTACTTCATTATATTCTCGTTTCGTACCACTGCCACCCAGCCCAGTGCGGGAATGCTCTCGCTGACGGCCGACAGGTGGTTGAAGAGCGAGCTGCCTCGGTTTCGCTCCCTGAAGTTCTGGATCTCCTGGATGTGATCGGAAATTGGCTTCAGGAGGTCTTGGAGCTCCATCTGCAAAAGCAAACATTGGTAAATTAACAGAATAGCAGCAAAAGAGGAAGAAAATATTCAAAAGGACGTCGACATGGGGTCTCTTTGGATTGATAGTTTACAGAAATGCTTCAGATGATTTTCATCTGCCCTCCTCCACCCGTCCACACACTAAACGAGCTCTTAGAACAGGGTCTAATTTTATGACATTTTTTCCACTGGATCTTCCAGATCTTAGCTTCAGCTTAGCGTGCCTCCCAGCTCTTATCCACCTTTCCCCATCGCTCCTTTTCTTTCCGACATTCCTCCGTCCATGGGGAGATCCCTCTGGCCTTGTAAGGCGTCCAGCTCCTCCAGTGTTTACAGTTTACCAATCAAACATCTCCCACCCTGAACCCAGAGCTGTATGAAATATATACTGTTAATAAGCTGCAGCCAGAGACTAAAAGAGTTTCCTTTTAAGCTTCTGTGTGATGGAAATCAAAGAAATACTGACCATGGTGAGCAAGTTTCAAGAATTTCCTGCATGCCTGAGTGCACAGCAACAAAACCAAATAACACTGGATAAGGTGGAAAAAGCCAGAGTGAGATTTTCTCTTTGTAAATTCCTTCCCAGAACCATGTTCCTTGAAACTGTATTTGCCACTCGACTTTTGTCACAATGTAATAGTATTTTGTAAAGGTAATCACACCTCTTGGATGTTCAAAATACTTGACAGAAAGTATTTTGAACTACCTGTCAAGTTCAAACTAGGAGAAAATTGTCAGGTGAAACTACAATCATACAATTGAAACTATGGTTTCCATTGTAGCAAGATAAAAAAAAGTATGGAATCAGTATGAGGTGAGAAAAAAATTAATCAGAAATGTATTTTAACTGCAAGAGCAGCAGAGACCCACATCGCATGAGGGAGAATCAACTTTGGTCAAAAAAGGCCAGCTACGGTCTATGCAGACCCCACACATCCTGGACACAAACTGTTCAGACTTTCATCTTCAGGCTGGTGCTACAAAGAAACAAAAGAAACAGCTGCCACAGAAACAGACCATTTGTCTGCTTAACACAGTGAATAATTGAAAGAAAAATGCATATTTTCACCTTCACAATCCTTTTTTTCCTCCAAAGGCTGCAGATATATGTATATATATAGTTCCTATTTATCCCCATTTCATTTCATCTAAAGCTCATGCATTCATAATTTGTAAATGTACGCTGTCAGTGCTTGATTTTGAAGTCAAATTCCTCGCATGTGCACACAATCAATCAAAACATAAAAGCTGATTTTGATTGTGTTTCTGAAAAGTGTTTTAAAAGTTCATTTCATTTCAGTATGAGGAAATGCAGACAAGTTTAAACTGGGATGGAGACTTAGTTCAAAAACTGAGCTATAGTGAAATGGTGAAAATCAAAGCATTAATATCTGTTAGAATATTAGAAATATATTAATAAGCAGACATACATCCTATCAATTAAAGTGAGCCTATAAAGCAAATTAACTGAGCCGTATGTCTTAATATTAAAACACTGGATCAGAATAGGCTTCATCCTGTTACAGGGATTTAAACTGTCTGTCTGTGTGTGTGAACATCCTAGACCCGCAACGTGTAGAAACAAGCCTAGTCACGTTAACCGGCCAACCTGAGGTCACGCTGCTTTCTTTGCCTTCCTTTCTCTGTGTTTCACTCAGACTCTCTATCTCTCGCACTGACTACAGGCTCAAATATAGAACATGTCCATAAAAAGTCAGAGCACAACAGCGCAGCGCAGGAGAGAAAGGCCAGAACTTTGTGAAATGCGTGTGTGTGTGTGTGTGTGTGTGTGTGTGTGTGTGTGCGTGTGTGTGTGTGTGTTGTGTGTGTGTGTGTGTGTGTGTGTGTGTGTGTGTGTGTGTGTGTGTGTGTGTGTGTGTGTGTTTGAAAGAGAAAGGGTGAAAGAAAGTAGAGGGGGTATTGCCCAGATTTATTTATCACTGTTTTACAGCTGCACTGGACACTGCAGCTAAATAAATGTATGGTGAGGAGGTTTTATTTCTGAGAGTGGGAGGTTTGTGATTTTACCCAGGGAATCTGGGAGGTTTTAGTCTCGACTGTGCACAGAAAGCATTGCTACTTCGACCTCTCCCAGCTAATATATGCCATTTCATAAAAAAGACACCAGTGTTTTACCCTATCCTGCTGAAAAATACAAGTTTATTAAAATAGCATAACTTCTCACCAACAGGGTCTAATTTTGTAAGACATTTTTATATGTCTTATGAAATCAGACTTATAAAATCTTATAAGATCTCTAAACAGATTCTATATTTTTAGGCATTTTATATGACAGAACCATGCAAAGCATTGCATAATTTCAAAAAAGAAGAAAAATGCTAAATGGATTTCTATCTTACACACAGCAGTTTTTTGCTTGAAATCTTTCAGTACGTCTCTACTAGGGAATATGCTAAATGTTGCCATTCTTTATGTTATTGCTTAAACTCAGATTTATTGGAGAGAATCACTGAATGTTAGTGTTCAAGTCTCGTCAATTGAAGCAGAGGAGTAGTTAGCAGGAAAAACTGAAACATCACAAGGAAAATAACAAGTAATAATACAGGAGGAACAATGAGAACTTATGAGCATATTTACTGAGAGGTGTAAATTACAAAGCAACCAGGAGATTAATCAGTGGAAAACAGAAACAGGCAGGCAGAGGAGAAAACTGGTGACCTGAGGGAAGGTGAATGATAAATACAGAGAACTGTACTGGAACTAGAGGAGTAAACAAACCAGAGGAGAAAAATGACACCAATCAAAGAGAAAACAATAAATTAAATAAGCAAGCAAAATGGAGGGAGCTAATATGGCAAAACTGAATAAAGACAATAAATAAACACAGTCGTCTTTTACTAGACACAAAATCAACCACCTTCCATGAGCTGAAGAAAAGAGGACACAAAAGAAGGCCAGGATGATCAAGAGAGGCAGCTGGTGTATCTTTCAAAAGTCAAAGAAAACTTTGTGGCAGATTTTACATGCCTGAAGTGAAACTCAAAATAAATGTTGTCATTTCTGCCTCTTCCGCCCTCTCTTCGTGAAACCCAAACAACTTCCTTGTTTGCTTTCCGGGCTCTGCCTGAAAGCTTTTTCTCTCTCCCTCTTAGCCAATGGCCTGACAGGTTGGAAGTGCTCACTTCCTGGTGGACCCTCTGACACCAGCACACAGCACACAAACAGCACAGTCCAGAGGGATGATATCACTATCACTTCTTTCATACACGGCTTTCTGTCACAACCCTCTTTTTCTTCTGCCGTTTGGCATTTTGGGAATGTGTTGCATTAGCAGTTTTCCTGGTCAAAGAGCAGAATAATCCCTCTGCATGGGCCTGGTCTGCTGGGGGAACACAGGCTCTCTCTCACGCAGGACCGAGACACTGATCTCCAGAACCGTACTGCCGCTGTTTGCTACAGAGCCTTACAGAGCAAATGGAAATATTTTCCTGTAGCTCAGTGGATCAACGTTCTTGGATTTGCAGCATCACTGGTATGCATGCTGAAGGTGTTTTGTTTGACTTTGCTTTCAGTGAAAAGCTGAGAGAGGGTCTAATCACGGGTCTGCTCAGCCCTAATGGAGGAATCGTCACGCTTTTGAATGCATGCAGCAGCATGAAGTTGCGTAAAACAGAGAGTTGTGCTGCAGGTGCTACATAACCATAACTCTGCACTGCAGGTGCTCTCCATCGGGGAGGTTTATTTTTCATCGCTCACACCTGAACATCATGGTGGAGCTTAATTTGGGTTTTCTGACAGGACGCCAGTACAGAAATTGTGGCGTTATTTTGATCTGTGCAGCCATGTTTGTTTGGAGGATCAATAACCTCATCCAGTTTCTTATACCTCAGTTTGGAATAAAATAATGAGATGTTGTAAAAACATAAATAAGAACTTTATTTGTCAAAAAGAGAACATGTTTTTAAGTTTTATGACTCTTCTGGTTTGTTAAAATGCTGTGGGTGAGGACATAAAATCTACTAAAGCTGTCAGTAATTCATGATTTACAGCTTTATTAACATCATGTTGTTTCCACATTAACTGATCAGCACAGATTTGTTGAATCCCATAAATGGAACTTACCCTTTGATCATTTCTGCAGACAAATCCAGACTGTTTCTTTGCTAATTAACATCCAAAGTGATCACCGCCCTGTTTCAGAGTTTCTCTGCATTTATAGTTGCATGTTTTGGTGTGAAAACATTGAGCTGATTTACCTGTGCCGGTGCCTGGTGCGTGGAAGCCATCTGAAGAAACGTTCTCTGAGTCTGCAGCGCCTCATTCACCATCTCGGCCTGCAAAATTGGAAAGATTAACACAGATTTTGACTGAAAACATATTTTTGCCAACCTATTGGCAGTATCATTGCGAGATTGTTATTGTGAAACCAGCCAGCACACACACCCACACACAGATTGGGGTTATTTCCAGCCATGTGAATCCTGTGTGTGTTTGAGACCTCAAGTCATGGGCCAGAGGAACCACCAGGGAACTTTTCTCCATATAAGGGGCTCTGAAATCTTAAAAAAAAAAAAAACTGCCTCGGGTTCTCAGTTACACTCACACACAGATCCCTCCTCCACTCAGACCAGTGATGAGACACAGAGATAGAAACAAAAATAAGTGCATTGAAAATACAGGCATCCATCATTCCTCAGTTCTGAAGCCCTCTCTGTTGTGTTGCGTGATTTTAAGATCTGCAGACTTAAAAAGTTTAAACTACCAGTTATAGTTAAAACGTGGGGTCAAAGTTCTGCTTTTCTTTCTATAGGTTTTGGAGAGAAAAGAAAGTTGTTGCCATTGTGCAGAAATGTGAAGACCACAGACCTCCCACACACACGTCTGGACTCTTCAGCTGTCCAGACGTGTGTGTGTCTTTCAAAGAGCGGGATCTGGAGAGGAGCAGTCCTCACTGTTTACACACTGCTGTCCAGGGAAATGAGAACTGAACCCACTCCACTTCACACAACAGTGATTTGCTTAGATTGGAGCCACTCTTTTTTTGTTTGGCTTTGATGGTCTAACTTTTATTAAAGCGGCTCAAGATAAGATTTCAATTAAAGATTCTTTCCTAACATTTGAACAAATACTCCTTGTGTGCTGTGTATAAACACTTCCACATTAATGAGATCACTTTAGATACATTTTAGTCCATGAGAAAGCAAAAAGGATTTCTTCTTCCAGCTCAGTTTTAACTGCAGCTGCTGCTTAAAACTGAGTATTATAAAAACCTTTCAAATGTTCATCTCCAGCCTCCTCATAGGCAACGACTGTGAAAACACAGAAACTCTCACAAGCTAACATAAAGGAAGAAAAGCAAACTGATCAAATTTATGTTTATTAATGTATTATGTAAGGTCAAAAGGACAAAATTAAATAAATAAATACATAATTAAGTCATTAATTAAATGTGCCATGAAATAAATAAGTGGTCAGTTAAATGTTAAGCTTCACTTTAATGACACATTGAGTGTCTTAAATAAATTATTTCAACATTTGATTAAATATTTATTTATTTTGTGGTACATTCATGTCTAAATGTCTCATGTGTTTATGAGACATTTGGTAAAATTATTTTCAAAACTATCCAAAGACAGAGCCAGAAAAAAAAGAGAGCTGTGAAGCCGAAGCAAGCTTTTATATTTTGGATTTCGTCTCCAGACAATCTTTTGGATTTTCTTTAGAATATTTTAGAATATTTTCACAAAAACATTTGCAAAATATTCTAAATCACATTTCAACAGAAAAGGGAGCGCTCCGAGTAGGCTTCATTGTGACCAAAGTTAACTATAATGTGTCCTGCAATACTGTTTTTATACTGTTTTGTGAAAACAGTACAAAAACTGCAAAATCTGGAGAGGAGCTCCAGAATTATCTGCAAAATCTGCTTGTAATTGATCAGTTCCTTGTGACGACTCCTCTTCCAGAAACCGACAAACGTTGATGACATGGACAGAACATGCAGATGGTTATTTGCATATATTTTGTATTTCAAATACAGATCAAAACACTTTTGTTACAGAAAGTGATTATCCTGTTACATTCATTTATTACAATTTTTTAAATTTAAAATTCTGTTCTTTTTCAAATTGATGTTATAGGCTAAAAGTTAGAAAATTCTTATACTATAAATAACAGCGGTTATTTGTTGTCCTGTTTAAATAAAGAGACTTACATGTTTCTCCACTTCACTTCCTATAGCTCTGCTGCACTTCAGATAATCTGACAGTGGACCTTTCAGCAGAACGTCAAAGACCTCCACACTCGGACCTGAAAGCGCATACACAGAAATCCTCTATTCATTTCCCCATTGTGGCTACAGAACAGCAGGGAAACATTTCAACAAATGTTTTTAAGCGCCGACTCACCTCCATCTACACCATTGACACAGTTCCCATTGAGCATGTTGCTGGACGCCTGCATTGTGACGGATATTTCCTCCATGCGAGTCACAGCCCGCTCCAACCGCTGCATTAAATCCTCCATTGTGACTATCCTGGAAACAAAAACAGAAATGAGTTATTTTAGTGAACTAGACATCACTGGAAGATGTTCTGAAACTATGCTTTTACTCTGATTTTCACAATGACTTCATTGTGGGAAGTGCAGCTTGTTGAATATTAAGACAGTTGGTGTTTAAGTTGTTTGGCTTTGATGCAGCGTTCACAGGTTTTGACCTTAAACACACAAATCCATCATACAACTGAGTTGAAGAGACAAGAAGACTTAAAAAGACGGCAAGAGTCCAAAATGAGAAAACATTTTTATGATCAGTGCATCGCAATAATATTCATATTCATTCGTGTTAGATGTAAAATTTGGATTCTATTTGATAGACTGACACAAAATGGAGAATAATTGTGAAGATGAAGGATAATGATACATGGTTTTTGAGCCACTTAAGCTTTTCTAGTCCAATTTTATTATTACTAATACTTTATGTTGATCTACAAAAAAAAAAAAAAAAATCCCAATGAATTACATCAGTCATCAACTTTATAAATTAATGACCTAGATCTTTTTTTTTATCACAAAAGAAAACCACAGTTTCTTTCCAAGAGATAATTAGGGAGAATAATAATAATAATAATAATAATAATAATAATAATAATAATAATAATAATAATAATAATAATAATAAAGATTTAGGCCATAACTTTAAGAAATTGGTGATATTGAAGTTTGTGGTTGTGACAAAATGTAACACGATTTAAGGGTTATAAATGTATTAGTACAGCACTGCACAGTTAGATGTATAAAAACTTAATCAAAATCTCAGACTGATTACATTTCATACTTACTAAAACAGATATTTTGCTTAAGTTTTGAGCTGAACTGTTATCCAAACTTAGCTAATCCGTTTTAACACTGCCCAGCCGTACGGCTCATCCTGAGACAATGCAGGCCTGCTTCCAATATTTATTAGTCAGCCAAAAGGGGAATTCGATCCAGCTATCCACTGCATGTTTATGCAAACTACTGCTGGGTAACACACACTCTCCAATCTGACACCTGCCACCTTCAACACACATTACAATACAGTGATATTTCTAGTTTACAGAAAGAATTTTAAAAACACACAAAAGGAGTGTACCAGGTTTAATAATGTCCCCTGTTTGTTAATTTCTGCTCATGATTATGGACCATGAGCAGCAAACATGCCCTGATGGAGGTGGTTGAGAAGTCTCCCAGCAGTGACAGATGCCTGTCCTGAGACTCAGATGTTATTTCTGCTTTGCGGGCAGCCGCAACATGAACTCCTGAAACCTGGAGCGCTCCTGCTAGGATTACTACATCGACTACTGATGGAAACTGAGGAAAACACAAGGAGCCAGGGGAAACAGATTCATCTCAACTCAACTTCACACCACCTGTGAGGTTACATTTTTCAGGAGGGATATTATAAACTGAACACAAAGTAGGAAACACGAATTCACAAGGCTTTCCAAAAAAATATTTTTTTTATTTATGTCTACTATTGGTTTTCTTTTTTCTTTTTTTCTAAGCCTAACTTTAAATTATATAGGCACATAAAGAGCAAAAGAATATTTTGGATATGTCACATAGGTTAAGCTATAATAGGTTACTAGCTTAACCTGTTATAAAAACCACAATTTGGCAGAAACAAATAAAATTTCAGCTTCAGTAGATATTTATACCTTCGACATATGCATGAAGTTTTTCCTGCAATACACGATAAACTGAAAGATGGTGAACCTCTCCGCTCTTCGATCTTTGTATCATTTTTTCTTTCTCTAAAGCAAATTATTTATAGGTGCATTTAATCAGCAAAGGATTGTTTTATTTAATCACACTCATCCTTTATCCATTTTCTAAAATCCACTTGTCCTTGCAGGGTCAGAGGGCAACATAGAGACAAACAGGACAGACAACCATGTACACTCATCCCCACATAACAGCAATTTAAAGAGGCCAATTCACCTAACAGTCATGGTTTTGGACTGTGGGAGTTTCCAGAAAGAATCCACACATGCACAGGTAGAACATGCAAAATCCATGCACAAAGACCTCAAATAATATTCTGAACCCAGGACCTTCTTGCTGCAGTGCTACCAACTGTGGCACCATGCAGCCCCACACATCCATTGATAGGACTTCAGAGTAGATCTCTATTCATTTGATTATTTTTTTAAAATGTCTACTGCATAATTGACATGGTCAGATACAAGAAGTGCACAGAAAATAAGATAACACAAAAGAAAAGTCAGACCTTAAGAAAGCTTAGAAAACCTCTGACCAGTTTCAAAACAGTTCACAAGAGTCTGGCTCTCCATGCTTAAAGAAACTGGAATAATTAAAAACTTTTCACAGTATTTTGCAGCATATTATTGGAATAATTTACTAGCAGAAAACTTTTTAACATCTACAAACCAGAAGTTGGCAAGAAAGCCTCTGATAATGGACTACTTTGATTGCATTTCACCGATTATTTGACTGTTTTTATGAATCCAATGGAACTGACAGATTCATTTAAGTTATATTTTTCTGTCATGAAGGAATACATTTTTGATGTTGGTATGGTCTAGTCAAAGCCTGGGCCTAATTTTGATTAAGAATCTGTGATTACCGATCATCAGTCATCTGAAATGACGATCGCCCATGTAAAAAACAATCTTTACAAGTCTCCCATTTTACACTGATAATTTAAAAACAGTACATTGATGCTAAAATTACATACGTGTGAAATTGTTAATGACTGACTGATGATTCTCAGTAATCTAAGAATCTAGATCATATAAAGATTGAGTTTCAGTGTCTACATGTTTATAGCTGGTACAGGCATACTTCAATAGACCTGCAGCTCCAAAGCATGCCACACTTTTAAGATTTTTATTAGTCAAAAAATATTAAAATGTGACCTTTTCTTTAAATTGTACACTATTGAGTGATTAAGTTTGTGGTTGTAATTTGACAAAATGTGGGAAAATGGATGGAGTACAGAATCTGTGTGTTTCTGTTTCCTACTGCTGGTCAAACTTTGCACAAGCAAAAAATATCCAGCATCTGAACTGGTCTTGTTGTCAGTCGGCCAAATTCTCCATGGTGATATGAAGACTCCTGCAGTTGTGCTTTTGTTTGCTTTCATGTGGTCTTCAATATTAATGAAATCCCCCAACAATCAGCTTTTTTCTTCTTTTTCTTTCTTCTTTTTTTGGCTTGTTCCAGAAAAATTATGAAGCAAATAAGAAAATGTTGCAGTCAAATCGATTCTCTTGCGGTACGTTTTTAAAACTACACTTGTTCTCAGAGGTGTGTTTTGATGTCCACAGTGTAAAGATGGAAAAATCAACAGCTGGGAAAGCAACACGTGGTCCTGAAGGATTTCAGCTTGTGGATCCTGTGCCCTGGTATCTGATCTTTGGGGCTATATTGGGCCACAGCCTGCCGTTTGTTGCAATGGACCCACTGCAGGCCTCGGAGTGCTGGGCTGCACTTCCTGAGACAATAAGCTGCTGAACTAGGTAGGAAAACCCTGAAGTCTATGCAGACAATATTAATAATAAATCACAAATAAAATTCTGAACATGTGCGGTGAATGATATTCCCGTAATATTTCATAGGTGGCACAGAAAAAACTCCTGCATAGAAAGACAAAATACAAGAAAAAACAAGTGCAAGACAAAACTAAAGTAGATTTAATTTCAAATGCATGAAATCATTGTGAAGACAATTCAAAACAAAACTAATGTTGAATCTGTGTTTTGTTCTTTGAGTCAGACATCAGCTCATTTATTTCTCATCAGTTTGTGAGGTTTCATAGACCTCAGATTAGAAAACAATGAAGCTCCCAGATTGGCGCAAACCTAACTGAGATTTGATTCTCTGAAATCGCATCGGTGTTATTATTGTGTTGCTTGTAACATTACAAAAGGTGATCCTGACTTTCACTGCTTAGTCATGTCATAAAATCACCTCCATAGTGATTAAAATACACCCACACCGCAGGGGGAATGGGAAAAAAACACGGAGCAGTGAAGATGTTTGACCATTTGCTCTGGGACGCGCACATCTCCACCCACCAGTACGCAGGACCCTCTGCTCCTCCCTGTCACTGGATAAAGTCTACCTAAAACATCCTATAGAAACACCTTACCTCCCTCCTTTGCTCCTCAGTAAGTTTCTGCCGTCGTCTTGAGTTGGGTTTGTTAGTATTCCCGTCCGGTTTGTTCTGGGCTGTGCGCCTTCACCATGCGGTCCGGTGCGTCCTCCCCTCTCGGCTGCGCGCAGCAGCAGCAGCAGCAAGGAGCTCCGGTCGCACTCTTCCGGGATGTCCTAATTAAGCAACACGGTGAACCCGAGAACCTCAGAGACCCAGACCCGGACTGTGACTCAGTGAATTTCCCCTCTGAAGCGGACAGACAAGCTTGAAAACTTGTCTGTCGTCCGCTAAAAATAGATGACAGATAGAGCGGCGGCCCCTGCCCGGGTCTGTGTTCCTTTAACCTTCATGTGAGTCTTCACTGTAGCCTCTTCCAGTCTGGATCAGCATGGGAATATCTGGGTTTCTAAATCATCCTGCTTCAATTAGGAGTCAACAAAAAAAAAAAAAAAAAAGAAGAAAAAGCAACCTAAAACCAAATGAGAAAAAATGAAAATAAAGTATTTTGTCTGTAGGGTTTACGGTCATTTTAATTGTCTTACTTGTAAAATGTGTTTTAATGTTGGCGCCTGATTCTTTTGACAACATGATAATGACGGCGTCTTTAATGTGAAGAAAAAGATAAATCCAGTCTGAAATATTTCTCAAGATTAACAATGATGTAGGAGGAAAGCAGTACAACAAAGTAGAAGAATAGATATGTGTGCCACTTGAAGACACAGTGGTGGCAGTATCATTCTGTGGCAATGCTTTTCTTCAGAATCCTCAGAGAACATTCCCAGATAGTTCCCAGAAGGTGGCGCTCTCAGTGTTGAATCTAATTTGCTGATCATTCCCTTATATTTTCAAAAAATAATAAGCAACCTGTAGTTATAACTTTTAGGAACCTGACATTTAAACTAAGACAAGCCAGTTTCTGGGTTCGTGTTCGAGGGTTTTCTGTACTGATGCTGCGCCACAGTCGCGCTCCAGCAGCAACATGTCGCTTCTGGTTTCACCACTGACCAAAATACTCCCTTAAGCTGAGAGAAGCAAGGCAAAGGAGGAGCAGCTCACTCCCTTCTGCATGATTTATTGATGAGAAAATGAATAAATCATTGATAGACTGACACCTCAGATACTTTATCATGTGTCACTCGTTTCCACACAAACCTGGGAAAACCTAAAGCAACAAAGCGTGGAGTGTTTAGTTTAATTTACCTTTATCATTGTTTTTTTTTTTATCTTTTACCGCTCTTATTTTGTGGTATAAGTAGCGTTATAAGTAGGAAATAGATTAAAATGTGTCTCATGAAACCTTGTCTAGTGACGTTCTCTGAAAATATGAACATAGAAGACAAATAATGACAAAGAGATTTGAAACACCTAAATAACAATGAAAACATGCATGTATCTAGAATAACATACATAGGAGACAAGTTTAGCATAACGGCACAAAAATAAAATAAACTGAGAATGGCCAACATGTTACACAGATCAAAATTACACATATAGTTGCATAAAAATATGCATAAATATAAAACAACACGACGTTAAACTCCTTTAAGATGTTTGGGAGTTTTGCTTAAAGATGGATCAAGACAAACGTTTTTCTGCATTTCTCCTCCTCAGGACTCAAATATCCTTCTGTCAGGAGCATCTGTCTCAAGTGCTGCATGTTGTCAGCTGCCACTGCAGCAGCAGCAGCAAACGTCCATGTTCCTCTGAGTCGACCTTCTGCTGCACAAAGAACAGGGACCTGGTTCCGCTGCTTTTGACGGCTCTGCATGGGCTTCCCCATGTTTCCTGCTGGAGACTGCTGCACCAAATTGTTAGCCATCTATTTTAGATTTTGAATCAGTTCAGCTCCTACAGCGTAATCTCACAAAAAAGTGGCTGATTTAAGAGAGTAAATTCAAAATCCCATTCAGAATTACATTTCCAAGAATTTCAATCATTAAAATTCAGTCTCCAGTGTACAAATTGTTCCTATGTATTTGGTAAAATGTCAAAGAAATGCTAAACAAGAAAAGTTGATTCCAATGAACTATGAAGCAAATGATACTGTGAGGACTGTGAGTTTTCTTTGTCTTTATTTTAGGTTTCTGTGTCTATTGAGTCTGGTGTTGACATGTCTACCCCTTGATTGTTCCCAGTTGTTTCTCGTTCCCTGATGACCCTCTGTGTATTTAATCCCTCCCATGTTCCTTGTCTATTACATCTCGTCTTGTCTAGTCGTGTCAAGTCTGCGGTCAGATTTCTCTCGTTTTCCAGTTGCTACCAGTATTGAGCCGGAGCCTCCCGTTCTTTCTGTGCTGCCTGGATTTTGGATTTTTGTGCATTTCACTATTGAATCAAATTTCTCACTCAACTACCTAGGTTCATCGCATCTCCCTCACCACCTCACACCGCAAATCATGACAGATACCATTCATAATTTCAAACATGACACAGATTCAGTTTATTTTCTGCAGGCAGATCTTAAAGCGCCCTGCGACAGACTGGCGGCCCGTCCAGGTTGCACCGCGCCTGTCGCTCGGATCATTAGCTGCAGATTGGCACCAGCATCCCTCACAATCCCACCAGGGACAAGGGTGTTAGAAAATGGATGGATGGAAGATCTTAAAGCACTTCTTTGTTTGTCCTCCACTCTTCCGTCTTTGCCCATCATTTTGAAAAGACACAGGAGCCATTAGACCGTGTTTATGTCTTTTAAAAGACTCAACTTATAAAATGGACGAGAAATTATTTAAGGCTATTGAACAAATCAGCTGTGAGACTGCACAGCTGATTTGCATAACATAAACTTAAAAAGATGCAAGACAGCCAACAAAGGTGCAAAAACAACAAAAAAATATATCTATGCTGCACATCTGCACTGTATACATGATACAGGAACACATAGGAGAAAAAAAATTAAATCATTTATCTGTCATAAAACCTGGTACTGTTGTAGGAGTGTGCACCCTTTTGAGATACATCTGCACTTGTGTAAACTGTATTTTATTTTACTAATGTTTATGCTATGACAACACCTTAATATTTACATTTTTACCTCTCTTCCTTAATTTCTAAAGAAGATAAAGAGGTCCCAAAATTGTTGAGATGTGTCCCCAGAGAAGAAGAAGAAAAAAGGATGTCACATTTGTGTATGTGTGAGAGTAGCCAATAATCACCATGTGTTCCCGATAGGAAGTGATAAAAAGGAAAATGCCACCAAGTTTTCTTCAAATATAGAACATTTTATTTCACTTCGATTACATGCGGTTGAAATTCTGAAGTAAAGGTTTATCATCAACGCTTTAAAAGCCTTCATCCACTGACAATGAAAGGTTTTTTTGTCATCTACTTCTTTTTTTTACATATTTCCCTTGTAAGAAAAAGTTCAAGTATAAAAAATTCCCAACAGTGTAAAACAGCTGATTTGATGAATACAAAGCAACAGAAGCTACTGAAACCCCAACGACGTCTATACATTCTAGTAGAGAAAAAGCAGCATTTTTTGCTCTTTTTATTATTATTATTATTTATTTATTGTTTTTTAGTAAAACTCCTTAATAATTCCTCTCAGCTAAACGAAGAAGACTCAGAGTCAACCTGCATGCAGACGGGTCTGCATTTAAATGCACGAAGCCATTATTTAATGTTTTGTTCTAAAAGGTCAAAAAAATAAAAAGTACAGTGCACATAACAGTGTATTAAATAGCATCTACATCAATATTTTTGGTTGAGCATGTTAATAATAATAATAATAATTAATCATAATAATAATGATAGTAAACTAATCAATAACTTATATTTGCCTTGAGATGAGTACATAATAATATTAATAACACAGTACCTCCACTAAGTCTCTACTCTTAGAGTGTCAACAACCCGCAAAAATAAATAACTTAAATAATACATTTTTTTTTGTCCTTTTTCTGTTTTTCTCTCATTTAAATAGCTGTAAAAATGTAAGGCACACTGACCAACATTACATCAACGAGAAAACCCCTATTTTGTCCTGACACGCAGGCCAGTTGTCGGGTTAGCTTTGGAGAAAGTGTGAGTGCGTATCTCAGAGCTGGAAATGCTGATGCGACTGGAGAGAAAGAGAGAGAGAGAGGGGAGGGGAGGTGTTGGGTGGTTTGGGGTCGGGCGGTTGAGGGGTGCAATGCCGGTTCCCAAAAGGCTCGGCCGGGGATTAAAATGTGACAGCTCAACAAACGAGCACAAATGGTGCGTTCTTTCCAGAGAGATCCGTCTGTGCGGCGCAGGAGCGGCTCCGTCCACCGATCCACCCCTCACCCCCGGCAGCTGCCCTCTCCGTCACAGAGAGAAACGCCACTGTGCTGCCTTTGTCTCTAAGCACTCTGCAGCCTCTGGACGCATGAATGTGAGTGAAATGTGGAAAAGCAACAGATTTAGTGTTTGTCATTGTGTCCCCTCTTTTGTCAGTGTTTCTGTTGTCTCTGCAAAAAAAAAAACCCTCCCTCTCTCTCTCTGCGGTCTGGTCAGAGCTCAGGACATTTTTCAGTTTTGTTTCTTTTCTTTTGTTGATTTGTTTGCTTTGCATAGGTCAAGAGGTTAAGGCTGGGTATGAAAGAAAATGGGACATTCAGCATCAGGAAGATCATTAAGGTAGTTCTTCAAATGTGTTTTTGACACAACGATTTTAAACACCTGGACTTCCAGACAAAAATGTAAAAAAAAAATAAAATTGCTAACACATTGGAAAACGGTTTAATTTCCCTGATTATCAGAAAACATTAACTCAAAGAACAGAAAAAAATACAAGGAGGACCCTCAATGTGTGATATTAACAAGAATAATAAATAAAATAGTAATGTTATGAGGGCTTTAAATAACCAAATAACATTTTTGAAACATGACGAGTGGGAAAAAAAATGAGGCTATTCCTCAAACTAACGTTAGAGACAGCATTAGGACTTAAAGGCCTACATTATACCAACCACTGGGCTTCTGTCACTCTACTCTAGAAACTACCAGTGACAATCGCAGTAATAATAGTATCCATAGTAATACCAACAGTGATCATTTCCATAGTTTGTTCTGCAACCTTTTTTTCATTTTCAGCTTTTTTGTTCAGATAAAGCACAGCAAGTTGGAAAGTTCCTATCCCATCTCACCATTGTCATCACCATCACCAGCTTTTAAAGAACGTCAGCCTTGGCGCTGATCCGGCCCACCTGTCTTCTTTGTGACACTTCAGCTGGACCATCCCT